GCTAGTCACTTTCCAGGTTTATTTACATTTTCAAAAAAGTTTTCTTTTGCATATTTACTCTTGTTTGCCATTTCTTCAGTCAAAGAAGTGTTTAGTTGATATTGTATTAGCTTAATCACTTAATTTATTCTTTGGTGAATAATATGGTAAAGTTGAGTTTCTCCACAATTAGGGAGTCCAGGTTAATACCTATGGAGGTGATTTTAAAGTTGATAAGAGAGTACCAATTAGAAATAAAGGGATCAAGAGTCTTTCATCCTGATTTAGGCCAGTATCCTGTTCAGCATCACAGAGTGTAACGTTCACCTAGCATAATGCTCTGTGTGATCTCCGTCATGATGGTATGCACATTAAAGATTGCTTTCTTGAAATTAACAGGAATTAACACCTGCAGAAGGAGGTATTGGCTACTCTTTGAACAAGATCAAAAAGAAAAAGAATCCACTATAAACCTTGTTGTTGTTTAGTCATTAAGTCGTGTCCAACTCTTTGTGACCACATGGACAAGAGCATGCCAGGCCCTCCTGTCTTGCACTACCTCCCAGAGTTTGGTGAAATTCATGTTGGTAGCTTCGGTGACACTGTCCAACCATCTCATCCTCTCTTTTCTGATTGCTTCTTTGTCACATTCACACCTCCACATAAAAGAATGTAAGGACAATTAAGTAGTGTTTATAGTGGGAAGTAAATAGGGTTACCGACATTTGCAGTGTTTTCTGTGCTGTTGTCTTTGCAAAAGAGTTGCTGATGCCTGTTCAGTTTCAAGATGTTTCTGTGAAACTAGATCTCACTTTAGCATATACAATTTTATATCTGCAAGCCCTATGCAGAAATAGTACACTTAGGTAATATCCTATTTTGTTGTTGTTTCGTCGTTTAGTCGTGTCCGACCCTTCATGACCCCATGGACCAGAGCACCCCAGGCCCTCCTGTTTTCCACTGCCTCCTGGAGTTTGGTCCAATTCATGTTAGTAGCTTCGATGACACTGTCCAACCATCTTGTCCTCTGTCGTCTCCTTCTACTCTTGCCTTCACATTTTCCTAATAGGGTATTTTCCAGGGAGTCTTCTCTTCTCATGAGGTGGCCGAAGTACTGGAGCCTCAACTTCAGGATCTGTCCTTCCAGTGAGCACTCAGGGTTGATTTCCTCCAGAATGGATAGGTTTGTTCTCCTTGCAGTCCAAGGGACTCTCAAGAGCCTCCTCCAGCATCACAATTCAAAAGCATCAATTCTTCGGTGGTCAGCTTTCTTTATGGTCCAGCTCTCGCTTCCATACATCACTACAGGAAAAACAATAGCTTTGACTATGCGGACTTTTGTTGGCAAAGTGATGTCTCTGCTTTTTAAGATGCTGTCAAGGTTTCTCATCACTTTCCTCCCAAGAAGCAGGAGTCTTTTAATTTTGTGGCTGCTGTCACCATCTGCAGTGATCATGGAGCCCAAGAAAGTAAATTCTGTCACTGCCTCCGTATTTTCCCCTTCTATTTGCCAGGAGGTGATGGGACCAGTGGCCATGATCTTGGTCTTTTTTGATATTGAGCTTCAGACCATTTTTTGTATTCTCCTCTTTCACCCTCATTAAGAGGTTCTTTAATTGCTCCTCACTTTCTGCCATCAGAGTGGTATCATCTGCATATCGGAGGCTGTTGATATTTCTTCCGGCAATCT